GCAGCTGATGTGTTTACATCTGCAGCGCTGCAGCTGATGTGTTTACATCTGCTGCGCAGCTGATGTGTTTACATCTGCTGCGCAGCTGATGTGTTTACATCTGCAGCGATGCAGCTGATGTGTGTACATCTGCAGTGCTGCAGCTGATGTGTTTACATCAGCTGCATTTAACTGCAATCCTGCTACTCAAGCAGTTACTGATGTTCTATTACTGCATGATAATTCACTGCTATTCATGCTTCTTTTTCTGTACCTGAGGGTTCCTGCTCACTGATTGTGGTCCTGCTAATGTAGATACATTTTCACTGGTGCTGGGGATACTTAATGAACTGGATTGCTGCGCACATAGTGAGTCACTATTTGAACAATAGTAACTTTAGTCAATTCTGATTTCGTTTTCAATATAAATTATCAAAATTTTAATTACAGGTTCTTGATATTTTTAACCGGTTTGTCATGCACGGCTGATTTTCAAAACAAACGAGGAGATGTAGTCAGCGCTTAAAGAGATTTAGGTTCATATTCCGAAACAGTAAGTGTGAAATTGAACTTTATGGGAACTAATGAGATTCCTTTCGTTCAACGTTTCCATTTCTAGAAAATCTACAATTTGAAATTAATTCGAAATGCATGAAAATTTTCCAAAATAATTATAGTCTCTTTAGAAACCGATAGCTACAAATAACTTAGCTACAAATAGCTACAAATAAACACAAACTTTAAGAGAGTTTGCACGTATTCTTCAACACCCAAGTTCAAATATTATATTTGCAATTGTATATTTTGAATTGTATTGCAAATATGAAATAAAAATATTCGATTCGCAAAAAAGGCAAGTTGAAATGTTAAAGGATTGAAGATATGGAACTTTAAGACATCATTCCCAACCAAAATTTAGAGGAGTGCGCGACCCTGCTTTAGGGCCGCCTAGGACTCTGGGAGCACGTAAATCAGCGGCACTATGTCCAATTCGGCTCAGGGTTCAAAGGGCTGCCTCTGGGCAGCTCGCTAACTCGGTACCGTATGACTCGGCTCGGCCAACCCTTGTCATACTCTCAGGCGACTGTGAAGTCGGAAAGGAGATTCTGACCAGAAACTGATTTCAATCGGTTGATCGATCAACCCTAACAAAATTCGGGGACCGCCTAGGCTTCGGCCGAATAGTCACTACACTCGGCGCAAAGTTATTCTGTACTGCTGACCAAAGCAGTACAGAAAAGTTACTGCAAAGTTATTCGGCCACTGCAAAGTTATTCTGTACTGCTGGCCGGTCTACTTAAGTAGACCGGCCAGAATAACTTTGCGCCGAGTGTAGTGACTATTCGGCCGAAGCCTAGGCGGTCCCCGAATTTTGTTAGGGTGCTCAGTCGAAGCTTAGGCCTGCGGTCCCCGAATTTTGTTAGGGTGCTCAGTCGAAGCTTATAGGCCTGCGGTCCCCGAATTTTGTTGGGTTGTTAGTCATTTCAATAATTGTTAATATCATCGCAAGATTTCCTTCTTCTAGATATGTGAACTTTTTCAGAACATGTCTAACAGTAATGAAAACTTATATTTTATAAGTTATAATGTACGAATATAACATCCATCATAGTCCTAATAAATCAGAGTTTCTGAAAGTTCCACGACAATCAACTTAGGTTCAATCGCTATAACGGTTTCAGCGTTCATTAGGCCGTAGGCCTGTCGCAGCTTCTTAACATCGCAAAACATTCACAGCTTGTTGCGGTCTCGAACACGCAACTCACTGCTCCAATCATAGGACTCTGAACTGTAACCACTGGGCCATCCTGCCCTGTCCCACCCATCTACGACAAAAAAAAAAATTTTTAATTCAAGAGTGGAATACGCAGTTTACAACTTTTTTAGTTTTTTTTTCAACCCACCAAATATTTTCCCCATCAAAACCCATGGAAATAACAAATAATTTGAATAGTTTATTACCTGAATACCTGCAGGAAAGACGGGTCTGGGCTGGCGGGCCGGTGGTGGTGATGGTGGTAGTTAGGGTGGTGGTGGTGGTGGCTGTGGTGAACAAGGGAGGGATGCGGGATGGGGGAGGAGAGTTAGGTGAGGGATGGGGGAAAGGGTGAATTCATTAGTACAAACAAATAACCAGGTTTTTATACGCCAGAAAATGATTTGGAATGAGCACGGAAATCGGTAACCGAATTAAATCGTGGCATTGACTATAATAATATTGTTATGTGATTAGTAATCTTAAATTATTTCACCGATTTTATTGAGTTATTTTTATCAATATTATTTGTTGTTTAATCAATTAGTTAATTTATTGAGGAGCACAAGCACTGATGAGGGTCAATTGAGGGCATAATTAAGCGCTCTGTAAGCCCTCAACATCGTTACATAATAAAACGAGGGTAATTCTTATTAATTAATTAATTAGATTAATTAATTCCAACATTTTTGTAATGAAACCTCAACAATAAAACATGGACGCAGAAACCAGAATTACTCACAAGCAAATATAAGTAATGCTAATAAGAAAATTGTCGAAAAATTCGAATGAAATATATTGAATGCTGAATTCATTAAAAATATTTTTAATGAATAATCATTTTATGAAATTATAAAATATTTATAGCATAAATGTTTACGTAGCTTATTTTTGAAGTAACTTATTTTGGCATCCGGTCAACGTATTAACTTTATTTTCCTATTTAAATGTTCATTTCGCTAATTGACTTGATCATTATCGGATATGGGTATTACAGCTATTTATTATTTAACAATTTATAGATATTACAGGCATGGTTTTTACAGCTTTTTGATGGATCATTGCAAGCAAACAATTCCCAGGTGTGTAAGTGGCTATACGTTATATCATTTTCTTTAATTATGTTGATAAATAAAAAACGCTGCAGTACTGCAAACTTCCCGCTTAAGTTGAATAGGAAAACTCATATTGGATTTATACTGTATCAATGGCACTCATTTAAATTTGGAACACTTGATATTTGGAGACCGGTTCCTGTAAACTTGTAATTGCTTTTGTAAGTCACCACTCAGTTTTACTCGTTAACTTTGAATGCATCCATCTTCCATGACAACGAAAGTTGAATACAGGAAACTTGACGTATGTTGAATTTATTAAGCGTATCAACGCGCGTTGGATGTATGAATCGTAAACCGAATGTTGAATGGTAAACCGTAAAGCAACGCCCATAACAACGGCGTTGAATGGATGAATCATAAAGACATATGTTGAATTGATGAACCATAACGACCGAGTTGTATGTATGAAGCATCATAAAGACGTATGTTGAATTGATGAACCATATAACGACCGAGTTGTATGTATGAAGCAGTTTCAGCAATGCCAGCATGCAAATCACCTGGAAAGCTAGCAACATTTTTCTCCCATCAAGAAATGTAAAATAATATTGAATTACTGTAATACATTTCCTATTCCGCTGACAAATTCGTACTATTTTCCATTCCATTCATTTGATCGCGGGAAAACTTCTACGAGAAAAATTTTCAACCTATGTTAGAACTATCATTTCAACTATGTTATTAATGCACGTTAATTAATTATTAATAGATTAAATTAATAAAAAAATAACTCAGTACTCACTGCTGAGAGTGACAGAGAGCGATTTTCTCGTCGACGAAAACATGAAGTCACGCACGGACAGACAGACGGACTAACAGACAGACAGACAGACGGACAGGCAGACGGACAGACAGACAGACGGACAGACAGACGGACGAGCGGACGGACGGACGGACATGGCAAGTACATTAGTGCATTTTTTCCATAAATGAGAAAATGCACTAAAAATTAATGTATAAATTGCGAGCAATTTACCTGATGCCGAGGGGCGTCTTGCGGCCCTCGTCCTCGCTGGTGACGGTGCTCTTCAGATCGTCCAACATCCGATCTGAAAATCGTGTCATAATTAAAAATAATCTCAGATCATGGTTAAAATTTATGCCTTAACATTACCATTATTGTATCTACAAAGATTAAAATTATTATGAATGGACCGAAGTCCAAAATAAGTGTATTGATTGTGTTTTATCATAGGCTTTGCGGCAACGATGAGAATTTAACATTTGCTGCATTTCAATACAATAAAGCAAAAGAAATCAGAAGAGCATCACCTTGGCATCAGGATATAGCAAACCAATTGTTTTAAACGTCACTTTTGCATGATACTCCATACAGATTATTTTCTTAACGAATCGAACCATTTCGAATCTCGTTGTACTCCAATTAGACAAGCAAGAAAAAATTAATCTTCAATTAAACACGTGTACGTTGGCTGCATTATAATTAAACTGCCGGGAGGTGTAGCGCTGGCTGCAGTATAATTAAACTGCCGGGAGGTGTAGCGCTGGCTGCAGTATAATTGAACTGCCGGGAGGTGTAGCGCTGGCTGCAGTATAATTAAACTGCAGGGAGATGTAGCGCTGGCTGCAGTATAATTAAACTGCCGGGAGGTGTAGCGCTGGCTGCATTACAATTAAACTGCAGGGAGATGTAGCGCTGGCTGCAGTATAATTAAACTGCCGGGAGGTGTAGCGCTGGCTGCAGTATAATTGAACTGCCGGGAGGTGTAGCGCTGGCTGCAGTATAATTAAACTGCAGGGAGATGCAGCGCTGGTTGCATTATAATTAAACTGCAGGGAGGTGTAGCGCTGGCTGCATTATATAAGGGAGCAGCTGCAGGTAATTACGATAGCTAAGGGCACGCCCTGTGTTCAATACGCGCACCAACACAAAAAAACGAGAACTGTTTTTCAGATATTCAAAACATTATTTTATGAGAAAAAGTAATAAAAATAAATAAAAATTGTAATGAATAGTGTGAGTTGAAACATATTAGTTATAAATAATAAAGCAGAAAATATTTTATTCACGCAATTATGAAGTTAAACAAACAGAGGCGGCGGAAGTATATGTTTTGAAAACAGGGAAAATATAATTAATCTTTATTTTTATCATTGAGATTTTTTCTAATGTAAACACGACCGCACGAAAAAAATCGGTGTTTGAAATATAGACGACAAATTAACTTAACCGTGAAACTTTTAGTATGATAAATATTAACGATTATACAAACTGAATAATGAACATTAAAGTGTTTTTAAAATGTCATAAACAACACTCAGAAAAATAAGCAAGACTTTGTCCAAACAGCGAAGCACTTTTTGCCCTTGTATGGGTCATCCTGACACAATTTGGCCCGGAAAGAAGGCCCGTCAATGCTAAGTCCGCTCAATGCTCATACTGTGGGTAAGAAGTGCGTCATTGTTTAGACAATGACGCATTCATTCACCTGAGTGTAATAATGACCAAGCCATGCCAGGCTCGATGCTGCAGCAAAATAAAAAATTACACAAACACAAACCAAGTCTGTATAGTTTGTTCCCTCGACGTCACACAGGACTCGCTGTGTTTGATCCTGTGCGACTAACACAGCTGTGTGAACAGCACACACATCGAGACTGCCCTAATCAGCGACGGCTGACAGGCGGCTTTTAGTCGGCCATAGAAAATCCGTCTGTGATGTTCAAGTGACATAACGGTTACTGTGTTAGAGTGCACACATGGTGATGCTGTCGCCACATCAAACGGTAATTAAATTAGGGATGAACTGATTTGTTGAACTCATTTGTTGAACTCAACGCGTGAACTCAACGCGTAAACTCAACGCGTGAACTCAACGCGTAAACTCAACGCGTGAACTCAACGCGTGAACTCAACGCGTGAACTCAACGCGTGAACTCAACGCGTGAACTCAACGCGTGGACTCAACGCGTGAACTCAACGCGTGAACTCAACGCGTGAACTCAACGCGTGAACTCAACGCGTGAACTCAACGCGTGAACTCAACGCGTGAACTTAACGCGTGAACTCAACGCGTGAACTCAATGCGTGAACTCAACGCGTGAACTTAACAAGTTCGATTAAAGCATCTCAACTCATTTGATAAAGTAAACTTATTTCGATTAATTTGATGAACTCAACTTAGATGAACTCAAATGAACTTGAAAATGAACTCATGGAGCTTGCACTCGAGGGACCCCGAGATAATTAAGTTACACTTCAGAATGCAGCCGTTGCCAGTACAGCCGTTTCCGTTAAGAATTTAATTGGATGGAATAGGAATTTTTAACTTAATTTTTAGTTTACTCTTTCGAAATATACTACCAACTTACTATACTATATATGCTATACTGTGCTATACTGTACTGTACTATACTATAGTACTATACTATACTATATTATAAAATACTATACATAAATAGATCGACTTATGGCAGAAAAACTGAAAAATCTTCTGGAGTAATCAAATTAAAGTTTCTTTTAAGTAAGTTTTACTTGAGTATTCTCTGCGTGACGTAAAATTATATTATCAAAAATTAAATTAAACCCATAATACAAGTTCCTTAAGAGCTGATTCCTCTGTGGTAAAGCGATTATAATTAACGAAACAAGCAACGATGAGCAATAACAACCCAGGTGCCCAATTAAAGACCGGATTCGTACCGCTTCGACCGGGAGTATGGAAGCTTCGCAAAATGATTTGTATTTTCAAAAGAAAATTATTGACCAACAATTGGTCAATAATTGGCTGCATTGCAATTGGTCAATAAATGCAAAACTGCATTCTTGCAGTTTTGGTCTTAAAATAAGTAATTAAATATTACTACAAGGAATATTCAACGAGTTTCATTTCGCGTCTATCGAGTGCAAAAAATGTGTTCCAAGTTTATAGGCATTCCCAATTTTTAAGTGCGGAGATTCATCTTTTGAATCCGAAATATACGAATATGCTCTTTAAATTTTGTGGCTAACTAGCATAAATTTTTCAATATTCGAATAATCAAATTTAAAATGTGAATTTAGGCACAGTTTTAGATATGAAAGAGGATTATCTTTATTCTACGGCAGATCAAAAATGAAGTGAAATCTGGCTGAGAATTTTCCAAGATTTGTGCCGAAATTTTACCTCGTCTTCGACCATTAATTAACAGCCCTCATACGTGACTTGGTTTTTTGTCGCAGCCATTGCGCTGGAAGCACAGCACGCCATGTCCGGCTGTGCTGTGCAGGTACAGCGTGTCATGTACGGCTGTGCTGTACAGGCACAGCGCGCCATGTACGGCTGTGCTGTACAGGCACAGCGCGCCATGTACGGCTGTGCTGTACAGGTACAGCACGCCATGTACGGCTGTGCTGTACAGGCACAGCACGCCATGTACGGCTGTGCTGTACAGGAACGCAGCACTGCCAGACTTTGCACAATATCCCGACGTCAATTCAAAGGTATCAAGATGTCAAATAAATGATAAAATAAATAAATCAATGCAGAGCACTTAAATACAGCGACTATTATTTCCAGGCATTGAATAAATAATTGCATAGAACTACACACAATAACTGCAGGGCTCACAGTTCAAGAAGAGATTAACACCGGCCGTCTGGATGGCCTTGAAGTCGGTAAACAAGCGCATTCTTAATTAAACCGGGCCCGGATGCCTGACGTATTTACGAGCTCGTATGTACATCAGACGATAAATTTTGATTGCAAATCAGGATTTAAACAATTCCAGTCAGAAACCAGAATAACCCGTCGCAGTAGTACGCAAATTCATGGCTCAGTATGGCTAAGGGGGTGTAGAAAATCCTGCATCATGCATGGCAATACGAGAAGCAGCGATGATGCAGCATTACATGGATAGGATTTACAGGTGAATTTCTGTCACTACGTAGTGAAGGAGATGCGTATTTAGGACAGAGCAGCGTAAACATGAGAAAAAAGAGCGACAGAGCAGCGTAAACATGAGAAAAAGGAGCGACAGAGCAGCGTAAACATGAGAAAAAGGAGCGACAGAGCAGCGTAAACATGAGAAAAAGGAGCGACAGAGCAGCGGTAACATGATAAAGAGAGCGACAGAGCAGCGTAAACATGAGAAAAGGGAGCGGCAGAGCAGCGTTAACATGATAAAGAGAGCGACAGAGCAGCGTAAACATGTTAAAGAGAGGGACAGAGCAGCGTAAACATGAGAAAGAGAGCGACAGAGCAGCGTAAACATGATAAAGAGAGCGACAGAGCAGCGTTAACATGATAAAGAGAGCGACAGAGCAGCGTAAACATGAGAAAGTGAAGCGACAGAGCTGCGTACGCTTAGGCGAGAAATGCGTAAGCATTTCGTGGAGATACGACATTTATAAATTATTATCAACAGATTCTCTAGAAAGTTGTAAAACAAACATCAGAATTAATACAGATGATGAATTTGTAAGAATGCATTATTTTGAAATGTAAGCGAGGTTAAATTGTCGAACACTCACCGAGAGTAGCAAGCCTGGCGTTCATGTTGCTGAGAAGACTGGCCGAAATGCTTCACTTATTAAAAGAACTTTTTTTAATTTCATGTGCTTTTTGGGATAATTTCAAACACTGGGTTTCAGGAGTCCAGCATAATTAAATTTAAAGGAGTGTCGATTGTCTACGAAACTAATAAATTTACTAAAAATCAAAGATCACAGGTTCGTGAGTGCGAATTTTTATTAACATTTATTTCGTATGGTGATTGATATGTAAACCTTATAATTATTGTCACAAAGTTCCCACCCACAGCGGGTGACGAAATAATATTCTCACACACCGCAAACATTGATAATGAGTAAGTATAAAATAAAATCAAATACTTTTGGATAGAGTGAAGAATGACAATAGTTAAAAATTTTTTCATTTCTCAATATACATCGTATTAAGCGACCTTCTCAAATGATGATATTTGCCAACAAAAACAGGGTACAGAAGTGAGTTTTTTATCATTACTGTAAATACAATTTTGACCTTCTTATAAGGATCTATTTGAATATATGAACCTATTATTTGAATATATGAACTTTTTTTTATAT